CGGGTTGTTATCATCTGTTCCATGGAGAATTGGGAAAGTGTTAAGGTTTTTTCCTTGGCGGTTTTTATTTTTGTTGTTGGGTTTTATCATTATTTCTTCTTTGAGGGGTGGCTACTTGACATTTACTGCAGCCGTATTTTCTGTCGTAAAGGAACTCATGGAAGGAAATTGTTACAAGTCGTCCTGTGCACTCACTGAGTGTCACATCGTTAGATAATAAAGTGACGTATTCTTGTCAGAATGAACGTGATAAACGTAGTCTGCAGAAGTGAGCCAAGGACAGTTGCATCACACAGAGAGCAGGTTGATGGAAGTGTCGAAAGACAACGTAGAAGAAGAATAGAATGTGAGCAAAAATAAATAAATGAAGAAAGTAAAAGACGCAAAAGACAAAGATAATTCTCAGTAACGTTTGATGTAATTGACATTACGAAGCACATACATTTTAAAACTCAGTGACGACTCTTGACACCCTAAAAAGATATGGAGGGGCGTTTCCGAAAAGAGGAGGGATTACTGAAAAGTCTTGTTGTTTCCGACATGCGTTTGCACCACTCGTCGCTGTTTGAGAGATTTGATCGTGCCTCACGTGCCTGATTTCGAGATATTTTGCTTAGATTTACAGCAATATTATTCTCCCTACTACTTTTGATTACAAAATTAAATCTATTGTAGTTTTGGTACCCAAATGCAAATGCGTTTATCGTGTGTATACTGAGACACACGTGCTGCGCTTACCGAGTTTCTGCAAGGTAAAAATTATCAAACCCTGTGTCTAGACCAAGTTAAAGAAATTTGATGGGTGCCTGCAAACCACCCCCTGTTGCTGCACCCTCCACCCTCCTCCATCCTCAATAACATTCCACCCATGTGGAATGAGCCATGCGGAATGAGCGTGTTGTGAGTCTCATAACAAATTCTCCCTCGGTAGGGAGCGATCCTCATATAATTTATATCCCCACAGGCCTCCCCCGCAATGAGGTCACCCAGACAGAAATGACTGAGTTTCTGTGACGCTGGTTCCTGTAGATCTGCTATCGGTGTTGTGTAAAGTCAAGAAGTAGATTGTTCTGTCACGTTATTGTATTAATTATGGCTTCCTGTGTGTCCCTGTCTTCACGGGTGACTGCGTGCCCGATGATCACGAGTATGTGCAGGTGAAATTAAAGTGGCGAACAGAACTATGGTGGTGTCTATGTGTGTATGTATAAGTAGGTGTGTGTTTATGGGTGTCGTGTGTTTGTGTTTGTGTATGTGCGACAGTGTGTGCAACTTTGCGCGTAAGTATGCATATACATTATACAGATAGATAGATAGATAGATAGATAGATAGATAGATAGATAGATAGATAGATAGA